GATGACACTTAAATGAACACGTGAATGTTTTATTATAGAACAAAACATTGGAGACCCGCCGAGAGATTCCACATAGATAACTATCTAAATGTCAGTGGTTAATTTCTAACGTTCGATAGTGGGATTGGTCCTTTTGACTTGAGGTCTTCATAGTACCTTATATGAGGACGGTCATGTTTTAACAGTGTTGGATGTTGCTCTAACAAGGACTACTAATACGACATCGTTCGGGTTTGTCAATAATCATATGAAGGTTATGAATGACCAATAGAGAATTCGTCACTCTTAGATAGTAAGAGATTATGATATGTGTTTCATTCAATTAAGTCGATAACGAAATCATTGACCAAGGTGTACTCATAAGTCGAAAAGGAGTTTTCGACTTATATTGACTTAATAGTGGAGTGAAAGATATGATTGATAATCGAGATTGACACACTTCCATATCTCGTAATTGATCGGATCATATGGACGAATGGATTATAGTTTCACGGTAAGCGAACGAATTTGATTTTGTCATATCACATGACATTTTCCGTCACGTGTATTGCCCTGACACATTGCTAGATGTCAATTTGGGACGACGAGTGTGAATTGATGATAGATTAAAAGGGTGTTTTAATTTATCAATTTTGATTAGATCAAAATGATATTTCACGTCGTTAAGCATCGTGATCGGGAACCTGATGGGTCGCACACAAAAGAGAATTGGAAGATTGCAATTTGTCAATTAATTAATTTAACAATCGTTGGATAAATTAATTAATTTGTTTTGTTATTTACAGGCCCGAATTAATTAATTCACGGACCGAATTTAATTAAATATTGGACCGGACTAGACCAGACCAGATCAAACCCGTTTGGGCTTATATAAATACATGACTAGGGTTTTCAATCCATATGTTTTTCTCATAATTATTATTGCTAGCACAAGAGGAAAAAACTCAGGTAGATGCAATCTTGTTCTCTGTGTGGATCACCGTTGGAGGCTAGACAATTGGACAGCTGTGGATGACGAATCAAGATTGCTGGAACAAAAAGAATAGCAAAGAAGTTTGCAAATCTGAAAAATGTACAATCTTTTCACAATTTCTATCTAAACAAAAAGAGATTCTTGGTGAGAATCGAAATCTGTTTTAATTTTTCGCTGCGCATGTTAAGTAGATTCCCAACAGTTTATTTATGGGAGAATTTGCAAACATTTCAAATTTGGAGCTTGCTACGGCTACAGAGACCATGACAGAAGCTTTGACGGGAAACGCACATGCTAGGGATGTCGCATTTTTTTATTGACATGGATCCACAAAAATGTGAGACGCACTTATCCCTTAGGTTAGGCATTTTCTAATAGTTCAGCAAAATTCTTCAAATTTTTGCATACTATATTCAAATCTTTCATTTTTGTAGCTCTAGTTTCAAACTTTTCACCTCGATTGGAGCACAAGGACATATATAAACAACATTCGTTCACTTGACTGTTAGACTGATCAAAAGTCAACAATCTGATCAAATTTTGATCAATTTTAAAAAGGTAAAATGATTGTTTTATATTATCCCATATAAAATAATTAAATCAAAAATAAAAGAGAAAATAAAAAACACATCTTCTTCGTCCTCAAATCCACACGCTATCCACCCACCCTGAAAACCAAACCTAGCAAAAGCAGCCACCTCCCACCTCCATCTCCACTGCCACCACCTTCCAACGCCACCACATTTGAAGAAAATTTCTATATGGCAATAAGATTTAAGAAGAACAATGGCTTTTGCAGCTCTGGTTGTACATGTGCGCTATTTTTTTAAAAAAAAATAATTATTAATTCTAGTGGAAGTGATTGATTTCTTGTGATGGATAGTGAATTTGGGTATTTATAAATTTGATTTGTTTATGGATTGCATATCTAGATTCAGAATGTTATGCTTTGGTTATGTGAAAAAAATCTAATGATTTTAGTTTAGTTAATTATGAGAAATTGCTTTTTGAGTGATTAAGCCACCTATCTTCAAGTTAGTTGATTGTATTGGATAAACTTCAGTGCTCGTTCTTTCGCTAGATTGACAATTTCAAGAACGAGTCACATCAGCTGATCACAGCATTAAATAAATTATAAAATATCTCATGATGCCTCTTTTCTCACGCAATTAAATCTTATCAAACTTCTATAAATTCCAAAACGCGCCGTTTTTGGGAAAATCTAAAAATCATTTTGAAACCGAAAATGAAAAACTAAACCAACCGCACCCTAAATTTTTTCATCCACTTAGATATGGCAATGACTTGAGCAGGCTTAGATACATGAGTTCAGCTTGACCCTTTAGAAGAGTCGAGCTTGATTCATGTCCACATGCTAGGCTCTATTTGGCCCTTTGGCTTGTGAGCATCATAGGCCGAGCCGTCCACAAGCTCGTAATGTGATTCATTTTTTTAAGAAAAATTAAAGTACATCAAAATAAAACAAACTAACCTACAAGTCAGCTCACGAAGGAGAAAAAAAAAAACAAAAAAAGAGCGTCCAACTCAACTGATGGCTCGTCTCAAAATGAGCCAAAGCTGCCCATAGTACTACTTGGGATGAGCCAAGCCCCGAGCAGCTCAATTAGTTTGCTACCCTACCTACGCTGCACGAGCTGAATACCTCTAGATTAGAGTAAGTTTCTTTTTCTTAATGATATGGACTAATCGATGAATGATAATAGAAGTTTGATAAGATTTAATTGCATGAGAAGAGAGGCATTTTGAGACCCTTTGGGATCTTAAAGCACAAGAACTAGAACAGTATTAAATTTGTAATATCTTAGGAAAAAGGTACAAAAAGTATGTTTTTCCCCCAGTTTTGTACATCTGATGTACAGGAAGATTTTTCAAAAGCAGCTTTATGTACTGGGCTCAATTCTGTGCACTCCACTCTACTTCCCTATTTGGGAAATACAATGCCTGAGCTCGTAACCAGGTCCAACAGCAAAGAAATCACTGTAGAAATATGCTAGCTATGTGGCCAATTTGTCTCTTCAGATCAGATAACCATGTGTAACCGTCAATGAAAATTTTGATGCTTAAAGGACTGTTCTGGCAGTATACACCATCTAAAGGCATGCTTCAAGCTAAGAAACCAGTGTCAAAGTGGGTAGAGCTTGGAACTGAGCTAAGTAATCGAGCCACAAAGTGAAACTTTTAGGACAGATGCATGTCATTTTCAATTTAACTCGACCTCCTATTCAACCAATTCGACTCTCTATTCAATCTAGTCAATTCTGAAGTAATTCTCTATTCCTACAAGCGCAAACAAGCCTAGTGTCAGTAATTCTCTATTCCACTGTGGTTCCAAAACGAGTGCAAAATAGTAATCAAAACCAGAAAGCGCAGTCTGTGTAAAAAGGATTTCTGCCTGGCGATCCATGTGAAACAGCAGGATTAATATGTTGTGTCGGGAGAGACGTTAAAGTCTAGAGACCCATGTGAACCGGCCCCACACGAGCCACATTTTAGAATAAGGAAAGAATAGAAATGGCATGCGACAGCTATCTGCTAAAAGAGTCGAACTTTGACTCTGGATGTGCAACCAAGATCATCGTAACAAGACGTGTCGAGGAAAAGAACACAGGTTCATAGGAACATGTAACTCATAAAGGAAGGACTGATCAAAACACATTCTTAAGTACTATTAGCAACAGCACCATACTAATATAAAGAGCTACAATTTTTCTCTTACTAGCAGACCAAGAACAAGGTCGTAACCAAGGAAAATATAGAAACCACTGGTACTGGCAATCATCAGGATAACTAGTTACATAACTAAGAAAAGATGCAGTAGAAAGAAACCAAATGGGGAAGTGCTCTAAATACATCATAGGACACGTGCGACCAGTGTAAATCAGTACGAGCATGCATAAATTGAATTCACTTAACAATAGAAGGAGAGCCAACTTAAAACAGTACATTTAACCTTTAGGTCATTCAAGTGTACTCACCAGGATGCATAATCATGTTGTAGCATGAGGAGTTCTGCACAGCCCTGAATGGTCCCAGTTATCATATTGTTCAACGTCAATTTTCACATTTATCCAAAATTTCCTCAAAATCATAGGTAGATTCTATTATAAATACCTATCAGGGACAGGAAGTATAGCAAAAGCAAAAAGCCATGTCCATTGTTGTTTTTCTGTGTATTGTGAATAAGGGTACTCCAAACGTCACCTGAACGAAACTGACTTTAACTGTGGAATATGGAGGAATTGCAGTTTATATAGCAACCTTTTCAGTGTACCCTCCTTTGAGTTTGATCAACAAAGAGTGAATCCAGTATGAGAGTATTGTCTTGTGTCACTTCACATGAGCTATGAGATCAAAGTTTGAGGTCCAAAGTAGAAAGAAGAAAGCAGGACTATTTTTGCTGATCAAATCAATTTATTACTCTATCGAATTCATTGACTTGATCACCATGAATAAACCCTTTTTTCCTAGTTGATCTTTGGATTCCCATCTTTGTCTACCTGGTTTACATCTATGATGCTCGAACTCGAGCATAGGTATCAAGTACGGGTATATATCTAAGTGTCGGATCTTTTATTTTCTAATATGTAGGATACGAGGACATGACTAAAAATAGTTCAAATTTCGGACACGGGTACATGGGTACGTCTTTCAAGTTTCAATTTTTTTATTAATCCAAGATGTCACTTTGAATAGATCAAAATCAATTGTTCACAATGAAGGAAATGGGTAATGAATATAAGGTTAAAAACGAATAAAATAGAATTTTGAGACTTCGTTTTCAATTATAGGAAGTTAATTACTAAGTGTTATACAAAATAGAAAATAATGGATTTGATTGCAATTTGGCCATAATGGAACAGTAAGCAGCACTATATGAAATCCATTTTCATTTTATACACACATCCTAAACCACCGATACAGAAAGGGAAAGAAAGAAACAAGAAGAAAAGGGAAAGAAGAAGAAGGGGAAAACTGAGGGCAATCGCCTTTCTCCACCCTATCGGGGGCGGCGCAGGTTTATAGAGAGCATAAATGGGAAAGAAAAGGAAAAAGAAGAAGAAGCAAAAAGAGTAAAGTGTTCGGTTGAAATTTGGAGGATCCGACACATATCCATACCCATACCCGTGTCGTATACTCTGACCATGTCGAAGAGTCCGAACATCAGAGGTTCACATGATATCTACACACCCAAAGTACTTGAATGAATGTGCAAAGAGCCTCTATTTCTAGTTCATCAAACAGTACAACATCGAGACCAACTTCAGAAACATATACCCTAGACTGTAATTACATGTATTCAGTTAACTAGAGTTTTCTTTCTCTCTCTCTCTCTTTTTCCCCCCTGTTCTTTTTGTGGAGTGGAGGGTGGGAGGACGAGGAGACTGCTGGAGGGATGCAAAGTAAGAAGTTTGATACAACACTTGTTAATATTTTGAACATACATCACAAATACAACTGCTTACACTGGCCTGCTTCCACTTCTGAAGGGCAGTAAGGACACTTAAAGCGACGTGTGCTATTATTTTTGGACAACTTGTTGATAGATTGCTGGCAGAGTACATGTCCACATGGAAGCAGCATTGGAGGGTTCTCTTCACTTGCCTGGTCCCGACTCACAGGACACACAAATACGGAATGGAACTGAAACTCCGTGTCCAAATCCACGGGCACAGGTAACTGTTTCATGGACTGCCATTCCTGCATTTTACTGTTCATTACATTCATCAGCTTCAGAAGGGTCGGCAAACCCTGGACTCCAGCTGCAACAGTTACACTTAATGGGCTTTCATAGGATTGCCCTATAAGATGACAGAATTGCTGGGTAAGCTCCTCGGCCAATTTGTCCCAGTTCATAGGGGACAGAAATTCTGCATATGGTGAGGAATCAAGTCTCCCAGCCCATAACAGACAAGCCATAAGCTTCTGGATTTCAGCAATATGACTGGCAGCAAAAGGAGCCAAAAAAGCTCTAGCATATTTCAGAGCTTCATCTCGACCATCTTTTTGAAGGATGTCTACAAACCGAATACGATGGAGTTTCAGTTCAATGTCGGACCCATTTTGTTTAAGTTTTTCATGGTTGGTAGCAGCCCACTGTAAAGCAGGCTCCAGGTTCTGTGATCTCATGGCTTCTAGTATCTTATACATTTCCAAGAAAGAAGATTTCTTAGCTGCAGCTTCTGGTTCCCTCAACTCATCTATGAAACAATCACCAAGAACGAACTGGCCCTCCCGATAGAAATGATCTGCAATTATTTGATTAATGGTGTGTATATCAAAATCAATATTGCGGTAAGCTTTTGATATATCAGGATTGAAGGATTTCTCGAGAAGCTTTGGATATCTGCTCAAAGCCATGTTTAATTCTTTCTGGGTGCCTTCCAGCTGGCTGAGTGGAGCAATTTCTTTCAACTTTGCTTTTAATTCATTTAAAATCAACACGTGATCACTTGGAATTGTAGAATCATGACCTGATTTTACTCTTGATAATACTTGTTCTATTTCTCGCACAATCTGTTCGATCATTTCCAGAGACTTGGATGATGATAACTTCTGTTTCTTTGTAACACGATCAAATGCATCTTTCATGGAATTCAGATCCATCTCTAAATACCAAGTTCCTCACTATAATTAGCTGAAGTAAAATTGGATGACCACCTACAAGAAAGGTATAAAAGACTCAAGTCTCCTCATATAAAGTTGAGTGATTGGCTGATAAAAATTTACTAACCACAAAATGCAGAAACTACCTCTTGATAGTTGTGCACGGAAGAAAAAGGAAGAAATAATGAGAAGCAATGATAATTGAAGGCATCAAACTTTCTCTAGTTAACAAACATCAATACAACAAGACTTCTGAAAAATGTAAAAAAAATATGAATTGAACAGTATTTTGCACGAAAAATATTATCATTACACGATTAATTATAATATATGTTTAACACCACTGGTGAAGAGTATATTTAACAAAGTTTAAAAAGTCTGATAAAAATGCATCCGGCATAAGTAATGGCAAAAGGCAAGGAAAGAAAAGCATTAGTTTGAGCGTCTAAAAAATCATCTGTAACCACAGGATGAGAAGAAAACCTTGAAAAAGCACAACTTGGAAGTTATACCTTCCGTGTTCTTTAAATTAAAATACAAGTTAATAATAAATCATTCTGAGCAGTTCTAACCAAACAATCAACTTGAAGTCCAAAAACAAAATCAAGCACTTAAAATTATAGGGCTGAGGGTCCCGTTGCTTAACTTAAGATATACAACTATATGTGACTGTAGCGATATATAATTATCAAAGATAGCCAGCCAGTACTAAGTCAGGCCGCATTACAAAACAACAAATCCATGTTCGTATGTAATCTAAGTGGATTGAAACACATTTGTTTGTTTCTCAATTCTGTGACGCGGTAATTTAGTTGGTAACATATTATTTGTGTCAATCGTGTTTTCTTTTTAGTCAAAATCATGTGAATAACTTGTTGTAGGCCATTATTTTTTCAGATGGTTATTAGTATTTCACAATTCATCTTTTGTTTTTGTTTCCTTCAAGATTTCGTATACTCATGATTGAGAGATACGCGTGGATGCTTCTGTGTCAGTGTCTCTAACAAGGAAATATGTTTAACTGAGAACCGGCTCTAAGCATCTTGACAACAAAGACCATCTCAAATTATACATGCAGGCACCAAACCACAAAATAATAACTGATTCATCAAATATATTCTATAACTCCATTATCAACAAGTGCTGGTAAAGAACAATTTAATGCACACCTAAAATTACTTCCACATTACTGACTAAATGTGCAAAGCACCTCAAGGTGCTCAAGGATACCAATATTTCAGCAAAATCAGCACCAAAGCAGAAAACAGTTCTACAAAATCACCAATCAAATAATAAACACCTCAAACTGAATAGATTTAAAGCCATCCACCAATCAAAATTGATAGAAACTGAAAGACTGATCTTGAATCTGTCTTCAACCAATTTGGTGATTCAAGAAATACATGGAATGGACAATGAATGTAAATGAATAAGATGATTAAAAAATCTGTCCAATTCATGTAAACACCAACTCAAGGCAAAACATGTTCCACGTGCTGCTAACTGTTTCATAACTGTCCTTGTGGTTTCAGAAAGTTCCAAATTCCAATTTACTCCCAACGAAAACCTACATAACTACATTGACCAAGAAAGATGACTCGTCTACTCAGGCTACTATAAACTCCTGGCATGAAATAATTAGGGTATCATCAAAGAGAGTGAAAATTATTGAAGACTTGGTTGATTTGGTGACACCATGATGTGGAAAGGCGTCAACAAGGCGTGCCTCAAGGTGAGACACATCACATGTACCTCAAGGCGCTAGTTTGGTACTATTTAATGGAGGCAAGAACCTCAATGAATGAGTCACAAGCCTTAAGGGCATATGCCTCAGCTTTTCTGTGAAGTTTAAATTTTCTTTTATTTTTCTTTGTAAGTCTAAACGTCTCAGATGAAAGAGGCTTTTTAGTTGGGCCTATCAATTTCTTTTTCTCGTTTGACTAAGTAATTAAAAAAACCTAAACATCGCCAATACACTACTCCACGTCTCACCACTTCCCAAGACACAAAGAAGCTTCTTATTCAAGATTTAATATTTGCTACTTTGGTGTTGTTTCTATTGAGAATTTGTTAGATTTGTTGTTTATTATATGTTATATTTTTTGTATTCTCTACAATTATTTGACTTCAATTTTTGGCTTGTGGTGAGGCTTACAGCTCACCTCATGAAGGAAAAAGGTCTCAGTCCCATTTATGCCTTTTGAAACATTTGGTGAGACTCAGAAGAAGACGTGTATTGAAAAAGGAAAATTATTGATCAATTTGACAGGCTCAATTCGTTAAATCGATTTTGATCAGATTGAAGCATTGTTTTTTTTTTATTTTTAAAAAAAGCGCCTTTTTGAAGCTTATGCCATGTGTGAGGCTATTATAAAATGCATCAGAAACCACCCTTTGAGCACCATTTGTAAGGCTCACTCCTCAACTTAGTAATGCTTATGTCTCTTAACTACTGGGCTTCCACCTTATATGCCTTGAGATGGCTTAAGTGTGTGCCCAGTTGTGTTGACTTTTTGGGGCATTTTATTACTGACCTCAAGTTTTTGAGCTATTTTCTTTATAGCCTAAAACAGTTAATGGGCGCTTTTATTTTATTTTCTAGCCTTTATAAGGATTGAAAAGGAAGCGTATGTCCCTCTCAAAGAGAGGTTGTCTTACCCTCATTAAGCCCACCCTATTGAATCTCCCTACTTATTTCTTGTCATTGTTTCCTATTCCTGTTGCAGTGGCAAAACGATTAGAGAGAATTCAAAAGGAGTTTCTTTGGAGAAGGTTAGGTGAGGAGAAGAAACTTCATTTAATTAATTGGGGTGCAGTTTGTTCTCCCATAATGATGAGAGGTTTTGGATTAAGGAGTCTCATATTTTTTAATAAGGTTTTGGTGGGTAAGTGGTTGTGGCGATTCGGAGTAGAAAGGGAGAGTTTCTAGAGAGAATTTATTAAGGCGAATTATGGTGTTATAGAGAGGGATGGCGCCTAGTCGAGGGTCGTGGTTCTTATGAGGTAAGTTTGTGACGGTATATCCCACAAGGGTAGAGACTTTTGGGATAAATTGACATTTTTGGTTCAAATGGAAGAAATATTATCAGTTTTTGGAATGATTGTTGGTGTGAAAATCGACCGCTGAGGGTGGAATTTCCTTCTTCATGTCATATTATTATGGTGCCGTCTACTATGGTGAACAATGCCTTCTATGTACATAAGGGGAGCCTTAGCTGGAACATTATTTTTGGGAGGGGCTTGCAGGATTGGGAATTGGATGATTATACGCTGCTTTTGACCTCTTTGTATGAGGTGTACATCAAGGTAAAAGAGGATAATTGTAGCAGGTGGAGGTTGGCACAAGATGTTATTTTTTCAGTCGACACTTATTTTAGATCTTTATTAGGACTTATGGAAAACTCATTCCCCTAGAGGATGGTAGCGCAATGTAAACTGCTCCCTCATGTGGCATTTTTTACTATGGACGATTATAAGGAGACAAGTGTTAACGGTATATAACCTTTGAATAAAGGTTTTTATGTTACAGAATTGTGTTATATGTCTAGGAGAAATGGGGAGACGATTGATCGCTTGTTCCTTTATTGTAATGGTGCTTGTTTGCTATGGAAAGATATTCTGACTTCTCAGCACATAGATTGGGTATTGCCGTGGCATATGGAAGATGTATTAAAGGCATGGAGGAGAAAATTTCATAATAAGGACAATAAGATTATTTGGGACCTTACTCCGAATTGCATCGTATGATGTGTATGAAAAGAGAGAAACAGACACTGTTTTAATGATCATACACGAACAACAAAGCAGATTAGAAAATTATTTTATTTGACATTATATACTTGATTTAATGGTGCACTACTACTCGTATAGACAAGTTTCCCAATTTTATATTGTTTCTTTTTTGTTTAAATTGATAATACATTACATTACCTATTAAAATAAAAAATGGGGAGGGGGAGGGGGAGGGGGAGGAGAATGCTAACACCACACTGCAAATGGAGAATGATAAAAAAAAAAAAGCCATCGTAAAAAATTGATATTGATTGAGGATGATCGGGAAACAAAATAAAGTTACCTCCTAAGAGTAATATTAGTAAGATAATATAGAAGACATGTAGATTGTCTCTATTTCTAGGAGTAATTACAATTTTGTTATGTTATTACTAATTTGAAAAGTTGTTATTTAATACTTTATTAATCTATTATAGATTTGTTTGTTCAATTAGACTATTAATTAAGTTAATTTGTTTAATTCTGGATTTTCAAAATAGTTGATGGTTTATTATAAGTATTTTTGTGAACTTCTAAATTGAATAATTTTTATAGGTTTATCACAAGAGTTATGCCTCACCTCACAAAAATAAAATGCATAGATACCGGATTTAGCCTGTTAAAACATTGGATTTAGGGCAATTTGACTACTTTAGAAAAGAATTTCACCTTTAGAACAAGGACTTTCAAACTAGAAGTAGAAACTAACAATGGTTTTCAGTATTCACGTTAAGAAGATCATAATGGATTAAAAATACACATAAAAGATGGCAAAATATAACTCGTAATAAATAAACAAACAAACAACTACAGCAGTGGTACTCTGAATAAGATTCTCGATTAAGCTAATAAAAAGCTAGAAAGGGGCATGAACAAATTCTCGATTAAAATTTGCTCGATATTGTGCCCATCACAAATAGAGTCCCGAAAGAAGAACATTTCCAAACAATGAAGACGACAAACAAAATTAAAAATGTTGGATGAATATACCTTGTTAACAGTGAAAAATGGACAAGTAATCAAGAGAACATTTCTCAGATCCAAGAAAATGAAGTTGATTCAGCAAGTTCCACACAAAATTCAATATGACGAATCATTTACACCAAAATTTAAATACACAAGAATATAAATGAAAAGGGGTAAAAGGATTTTGGTTTCTTACCGGAAGAAAGCAAAGAATGAAGAGAACTGCAGAGATGATCTGATTTGACGGGGACAGCCGGACAGGTGTGGGTTCCTTGTTCTCAACACAAACGGTGAGAAATAGTTTGAGATTTCTGCCTTCAAAAGTTTGCGATTTTTTTATTAGAAATAATGAAAAGCCTATGGATGGGCTGCACTTGGATAGGCCTATAACTACAAAACATTTGGCCCAAATTAATCCTATTTATGAAAAGAAAACGCAAGACATTTTTATCCATATATTTTAAGAAATTCATAAATATTATTTCCTTATGGAACACGTATTTTTCTCTTTTTACAATTTAAACTTAAATTATTTATCGACGTATCCAAACATGCTTTAAAGAAAAATACAGCTCAAAATCATCATGACAAGTTTAAAAATTGGAATACTCGAAGTTCTTAAAGTTATATAGAGGGTAGTTCAGATAATGATCATATTATGGACGGATTATTTTATGCTCGACTCATTTATCTAAATGAGGCTTGAAAAATAACTTGTCAGTTTTCAGATTTTTAATATTAATTGCTATTAAACCCTAATAAATGAATAACTATTAAGTGTGTAGTTTAATTAATTGTTATTTAACTCAAATAAATCTACTTCTTCTTCTTCTTATCATTATTATTATTATTTTTTGCGGTCTCCGTAAAATATTTCTTAGGAACATTATTACTCAAAAGGTTTTTACTAAGCTTTAAATTAAATCAAGATGGACTACTTTTTTATATGATAATTTATTTGGTAACAAAAGCAAAAATAATCTCCTTCATAAATGCAATGAAGATGACAGTTTTCCATTGGTTAGATAAATAGGTTCAACATATGACAAATAAGTTAACAGTAAATCACACTCAGACCTAGGGGTGTAAGCGGTCCGATTTTATCAATTTTTGACAAATTTTCAAACCAAACCGTTTAAAACGGTTTGAAAAAAATCCAAACTTAAACTAAACCATTTTGAAATATTTGAAAAAAATTCAAACCTAAACCTAACGGTTTGATCCAATTTTAAATTGTCGGTTTCGCCATATATTTTTTGCCCATCTACTTTTATGTCATTAATTCATTGAATTTAATATTTATTTATATCTCACTAGTAATAAATTTAAAACAAATTAAGCCCCTGTTTGAACCAAATTTTTGGGACACAAAAAATAAAAATTCGGATCGTTATTCCACAAGTTCAACCGCATTTGTTGACCTGCTATTTCATGTGTGGGACCTAACCTCCTCTTCAATAGTCAATTTTCTCATTATGATGATATGAAAAATATGGCTCAAACAGAGGCTAAATATATCTACTATAAATTTAAATATTAACTAAATCAAAGTGAAATCACAATAAACTAAAACATAGTTTTTTTTTCCATTTTTGTTCACATTTTTTAGGTTAATGACGATACAATAACGTTACAATACAAGTTTACTAAACTAGATATAAGGTCCAAAAAACATAATGATGTCCAACAAGAACTCGTGATCATCATATCTGAAAAAAAAGATATTGATTAAACAAAAAAAATAACCAACTACAATAATAAAACAATTGTTTATAATATCTAAACATAACAATTACACAAGTTTACGTTTGTATGATATTACGAAACACATTTAATTTCAGGTTCTTACCTTAGTTTGCTCCAAAAAATTATTGATCTGAAACTTTATTTGTAGCAAATATTATCACCGAAAGTTTAGGATCTCTTTGTCTCCAATTTGATATAATGGATTTCAATTCGACTTTGAAGAGGCATGAAAAATCTGAAAAGAAGTGTGTGGTGCCGGTGGCTCAAAACTGTGCTAGGTGTCGACTGGAGTTCATCTAAATTTTTAAGAGGAAAAAAACTTTTGATAGATTATGTTAGTCTTAAAATTATTGAATATATATTAGGATTATTGGATAATAATAATAATAATAATAATAATAATAATAATAATAATAATAATAATAATAATAATAATAATATATCTGTATTAGAAAATTAGGAATTGACAAAAATACCTATAAATGACAAAACTATTGAATTTTACATATTTGGATGAATTTTCAAAAAATTTCATTTTTTTATTTTTATATATTTTTTCGCCGGTCCAGTTTGGTTTTAAATCGCAATTAAAATTTTCAAATCTAAACCAAATCATTTTGACCAATTTGATTTGAGTCAAAACCATTTCGTTGACTGAGTCTACGTGACACTAAACCGACGATTTCTAAAATGCGTTTTCGGTTCGATTTTCCGATTTTACGATTTTTGCTTACAGCCCTACTCATAGCTACCTAATGAGAAACAACTTAAATATTTTAAGATTTCTTGATTGGCAAAAGATGGCCTTACCTAAGCCGTGTTATATGTTGACCGCCCGTGCATAAATAGCAAATTTTAGCCTTGCATGCTCAAGCCCATTTTGCATGTAGCATGGTTTTCAAAAAGTCAAAAAAACTGCTTCTAAACATGTTTAGACAGTTTTTTGTTTTTTTTTTTTTTAATATTTAAATAAAGTGCTTTGTCTAGTTAAAAGAAATTCTAGGAGATGCTACATTAAACCTTGGGTAGCTTTCATATAAAGCTTTTCTACAAAAGTAAAAGTCCAACAAAATGGGCACATATACCAGACCAGTTTCCTCATTAAAGGAATTTTTATGGATGAAATAAGAAAGCCAATGAAGTGATAGAATAAAATGACATAAAACATTTGGAAACTTTGATGCAGAAATTAGATCTCCTCACAGACTATGGTAACTACTATTACCAATCAAATAAAATAAATTACAAAATCCGACATAGAGAAAGTAGCTATAGTATGACCATATGTTTATAGCACAACAAATTTTCCTATTGGGCTAATACAACATTACAAAGAAAAGAACTCAAATGAGGCCATATCAGTAGGCATTACACAAGGTTTAAACACGCTGAGACAACTTACTAGTATCCCATAAAACAGCGACTACAGAGGAACCAATGAATGTCAAAAATTTCCATATATAGCTCCAAATGGTGACGATTAGATTCACGTCGTATAATTCAGTTACTCCAATATTTAGTCAATAACTTAATCACTCCAGATGGTTAAACAAAGGTCCAAGACACTAACTTCTCAGATAGGTGCATAGCTGTAGAGAAAAATTAGAAGAAAGTAGGTATTCATGAACAAGAATTCACATCGTGAAATCAGCTTGCATTGAGCAAAATTTCACCCTATCATTTTCACTCCCGAGAAGCAAGACGTTCAAATTATGTCACCTACTTCCACAGAACAACCGATGCTTGTTGACGTGCTCATAGTACTTGTCTTCTCCATAAAGTCGCCTGGACATTAAACAATAACTTTGTTTTTCAAAAAAAAACTATTAGAAGAATAGAAAAGACATCTCTTTTCAAAAAAAGAAGAAGAAAAGAAAATAAACCCATAATCAAAATGAACAGAAACTAAAATAAAACTGATTTTGGAGTGACACAGTACTGAAAGACAGTCTATGTAAATCAGTTCATTACTTTGGACTACTAGTAATAAGCCAAAATAATGATTTTCCTAAACATCACAAATTGCAAACCAAAAGAAAAATACAAAACTACATGTCCATAACATATGTGGTGATTGAAAATGTGCAACATGAGCATCGCCCCAATAATGCAATTCTACAACCCACCACAAATTTCTGGAGCATGAAGCTATAAGTGTCCTCTCATATAATTTAGCAGCGCAGAAAATGACAGATGTTTAAGGAATTAACCATAAATTCATCCATTTAATACCCATAAGAGCATGTGTAGAAAAACAAACTTACGCTAGATCTGCATAGCTCTCTGACTTTATTACACCCTTTCCCTCTGAGAGTTCAAGGCAAGAATAGTGCATTATCATTTCCTTGAGCGTGTGCTTAGTGCTCTTGATATCATTATCCCATAAGATGCTCTGCACGGAAGCGTAGCCTTGGTAAATTCACCTATATCTATCAATCCAAGAGCTTAACACAAAGCATGCTATGACAAAAAGTTATAAATTCAGTTGTCATAAAACTAATGGAGAATGTGTGCGTCATCGTATCATAGTTTAGCACTAATTATACATTAACAAGAGAAGAGCAATAAAATGTGCAATCTAGTATTTACATCCCAAATACCTTCCTAACATACTCTCTTTTCACATCTTCCCAAGGTAATTTGCCTTTAGGAGAAAAAATAGAAGCATTCCAAAGAGCGCCTCTAGCGACCATCACTGATGAAGCACCTAATGCAGGAGCAAATTAGAGTGAAATTTTTTTACAGCATTCAAAGGAAAAAAACAGAAGTGTAAATCAGGAGCACTACATGACCAGCCAAAATAGAACATGGTCAAAATGAGGAGCAGAAGCCACAGCATTTATTAACAACTGAAAATTACACATTCAGAAATATGTTTTGGTCCACATTATAGACAGCAACCAGTAAGTAGAAAGTAAAAAACCTCTCTACTGCTAAGGCTAACCCTCTCTGTAGACAACTTCAGTAAGCAAATGCAGGCATCCCAATCCCAAACCACTGTTGACATGTTATTTGTAACCTTTGCAGAAGAAGAAAGCAAGGGTATCTAACAAAATCTAAAAGGTGTGACAAAATGGACCCTTTTGGATATCCCCTAAAAACTCTGAAGGCTTCTCCCTAACATCTCATATATAACCTATATACACTGAAATCTTACTCAGCAATGGGCCTCCAAATTCAACATAACACAGGCTCAACTTAATCACAGTCTTCTACGGAGAGAAGCTAATGCACCAAGGAAATATAAACTTCTTATTTCTGGTCTAAATGACCTGATTTCTATACAAAACAGCAAAGAGATGAATTTATTCTAGAACTTGTGAGACACCACAAATGCCAAGAGCAGCAAGACACGTGTAGATGAATCCAAATGGTCGGCTTGCACCTCAGATTTTTGAAGAGATTATGATCACCTTTTTACTTTCCAAAGGTCACAAAGTGGGATATTTATGACAGTGTGAAAGTGAGTGTGTTCACATGAACCACAATCCATGCGGCAGAGAGCTGAATAGCCACATAATGAGAATTCTGGTTGGCAGATAATCATCATGCAGATAATAAACCTCCAGTTTTGAAGATAATATTATGGATACACGCACATGCACATATATATACATGAAAGTAAGAAGGATTTCAATGGTAAAAGAATATAACTGAGTCAACTTGAGAAAAGCAAAACAAAGTGAAATGTTGCAGAGATTGCACTACAGAGAGAATTGCCCAACCAAACATAAGAGCTTAATTTCATCTATCTAGGAAGAGATTTAGTGACAACATATTGCAAGTCAGGCAATAGTTCGGTGCTCTATTTACACGAATTACAACCACATACAAACATGTTGACGTAAATTTCCAAATACTAAAAGAAATCTATATATTCCCATAGAAAAAGAGCAATCTAGAAAATAATTATGTTACACAATACAATCCCAATATGAAGTGCCAAACCTTTATAGATAGGATTTTTTCTTAAAGAGAAAAGAAAATCACCTTTCAGCATGTAGTGAAGTAATTACTCAGAAACATTCCAAAATAGAGTACATTAGACACTGTCCTAACCTCTCTCTCCATATAACCATGCAAAAAGTATCATATACCTATTGAAGTGGCACATGCATCAACAGAAAGTGTGCAGTTCAATCACTTCAAATTAAATATTAAAAAATCGAAACAATATGGACTACCAAGGTTTATTAAGCAAGATGTCATCCATAGTTCCGTACCCACAAGACAAAAATATTTCAGTCTCTCTAAAAGTAATGACAATGCTATCTGACAACGGAGAACCTATACGATTGCAAGATTCTAGTCAAAGAAGCATATATTGCTAAGTAGTACCTTATGATGAAATAATACCAATCCCCAAAATAAACGGGAAAATGAAAGAGAAGGGAAAATAACTTCTACAGAATTGATAAAATATCATTTCTCTACCTGTAGCAACTTTTATGCGTTCAAAATCTGCATAGTCGAATACATCTCCATTTGCAATAACTGGAATAGAAAGTGCAGCAACGACGTCAGCAATTTCATCCCACTTCGCAGGATCCCTTGGCCTATCCGCAACTTTTCTATGATTGATTTAGCATAAGAGAAAAGGTTTAGAATCATCATGAAGGTCCCACAGAAGGAAATCCAATCATAAAACGTAAAGCACAATAAATTGAGCAAGAGTTAATGCAATGAAAGATAGTTGCTAGAGAAATATATTCCCGTGCAAGGTAATTTCAAGCTCGTATCTTGATTGCAACAGTTCATTTCGAGAGCAATCATATTAATGGTTGGCAAAGACAATAATCAGTTTGCGATAGTAAATTGTGGAACTGGCCGCCATGAAGCCTACCAGGGAATGTAATAATTTTTCATAACATTGGGACATGTGAACATCAGGGGAACTTAGACCGTATTATACGAGTTACAAAATTATAAGTAAACACACCACAGCTACTTATTTGATGACAGCAACGATAGATTCAAGTCTAACTCAATCGAGACTAGAGATACGACACAAATGCGACGCGTCAGAACAAAAAACTTTAAAAAAAAAAAAAAAAAAAAAAAAAAAAAAAAAAAGAAAAAAAAAAAAAACGGGCCCCCAAAAAAAAAAAAATTTAAAAAAAAAAAAAAAAAAAAAAAAAAAAAAAAAGGATACAAGCATGCTGGGCACCCTTGGATTAAAATGATATCAATTGGTAACATTAATAACATTATCCTTTATTTTTTGTACTTGTTTAAGTCAAATTTGTTTTGATTTTGACACTTACTAACATGAATTGCATGTGGAATAAAAGGTATTATCCATGCAATAACTTTAAGTTGAACATTGTATTACTAGTGGCAGTGAACTATTACTAGTGACAATGAACTAAAAATGTTCATGTGTTAAAAAGTCCATATGCTAGATCAAAAACAATTGCAAGCTCATATTATTTTTGTCCCAGTACAACATTCAACTCCACACAAAATGAAATAGATGATTTCATTCATCTTTCTTTACTTCTTTGTCTCCATTGTCAAATAAGACAGTAGTAGCCAATTTTGGTTCATCCAAAGATAGCTTAGCAATTTCAATTACCCCACTGACTGGTCATCGGCTTATTTAAGATTTAGCTTAGAATAGTCCAATCACAGCCTCACAGGAGAACTAAATTGGTTGGGTATGGCCCATAGAGAATAGCACTAGTCGTATCCACATTGGCCTGATCCATGTGTCCCTATGTGTCGGAATTTTAATATATAAAGAAAATAACCACATAGCATGTTGGACACATGTCCTGGAGTGTCCAAGACACGTCAACATCGATACTCCGACCTAGCTGGACTCTTCATGTTTCAGAATAAAATTGATTCAAATTCATACGAAGGAGTTATGTAAATGGTCAAGCTTTTTGCATACCCCATCTTTCAAGCCAAAAAGGTCTCTTTTATTATGTGTCTCTCTTCCCTTTTTTCCAGAGCGTTTATATTCTATAGCATATAAAAACAGAATAGCCATCAATCTGTTCCTTAAAAGTAAACTTTATCTGGACCTGCTTAAAGGAGCTGGTTCCAATTCAAAATAGCCCAACTAATCTACAGAATATACAAATAGGAAGAAAAAACATATATTTTTATTTTAAAAGATGCAGTACAGTAGAAGAGTCAAAACCAAATTGCCACACCAGGGCCGTTTAAAAATCTTGCACAAGCAAAAATATTCTAAAAGGTACCTTCCGTGGACAGCTAATGCAGAAACACCAGTTTTCTCTATACGCCGTGCTAATTCCACAGTGTCTTGGGATGATTTTAATAGCCGAATCTTGCATGTCACATGTGTATCTAGGTTCCTTTTTAATGTTGTCAAAATCTGGATTTCAGAAAAGTTGTAGGGGCAATTGAATGCAAAACTTGAGCTGACCAAATGAAATTTACTTATGCTCAAAAGGATGCAAGGAAGTATTTCATACATCATGAATGAGCTCTGGCTTTGTCAATAATGCAGCACCCATTCCACCACTAATAGAGAAGGACTTAGGGCAACCCATGTTTATATCCACAGCAGCAACATCTTTACACCTGTAGAGAACATGCCGTATGAAATAAGCATGGAGTTATCAATATTTGAAGTGTAAAAACCCAGAAAATGCCCCAATTTCAGGCTAAACCGTTCAGCTAACAAGATTTATTTTGATGATGAGAGAAGTGCAAAAGAGACAGGTGGAGTTTTGTCTACCAGCAAGAGTGTTTAAATCATTTTGACATTTTTGTACATCGCCAAATAACTGTAGCAAAAAGGAACAGGCCTCCTGAACCAGATATGATTAATGAGACATATTTGCAGGGATAAGGCTAGCTCTCCATGTTAATGCATGCATAGGTTACACAAGTGTAGGGTGTTTGTGTTGCCTGGAGAGTGCATAGGATGAGAGAGAGCGGGAGCCAAGGATATGATGGTTACTTCAACTTCATGGAGCTTAAATTCTAGTAAAAAGGTCACATTATTAGAAACTTCTCATGAAATTAAAAATTAAGTGGTTATCAGTCTCATGTTAAGATAAAAAAGCACATAATTCCTTTTCTTTTAGGAGAGTAAATTGGCGCCCCTTGGATTCACTCCTTAGCTACCCAAGTCTTTGTACAGAAAGGAAATAAACAAAGTACCCATAAACCTCGACATTGTTCATCACTCTGTACCAAAAATTTGTTTTGGAAACGTAACGGCTTTTGAGAGGTGCAGAACCCTCAACGTTGATTAGAATTATCTCTAATGGAACAAATATGCAGATGAAGATGCTTCACACAGATCTCAGTAATAGTGACAAACAAGATAAATGCAGGATTGATCCTTGGTGGCATTCTGAGAAGAAAAAAAATGCAATTAGCAACTTCTGAATGTTCATTGTTACACAGTACAAAGCCTTTCTCAGAGCATAAACAGCATCATTGATGTTTTCTATAACATTTTTATGAGAAGGAATCTTCTAACAAGGAGGAAAGAAATGAATAAGCACTCGGCAAAAAAAAGTCTGGCCCCAAACCATAAACCCGAAATTTAGAACATTGCCATCCAAATACATGGGAAATCAATGTAAGGAATAAGTAGCCAGTGGTTAACTAGATGAGTTTCTCTTGTATTGCAAACTTTATGGGAGATGTTATGACTGCAAAAGGTGAGAAAGGGGGTGTCATGCCAGTACAATATAGACACTTCCATTTCATATTGTAAGCAATTAAGCTTGGGAGTAAATCCATCAACCACTGATATCAGCTCCTTTTTTTTTTTTTTTTTTTTGAGTGAAAATTGTAAAATTCCAACATCAAAAAGTTCGATTACATTCCATATCTTGTAGAAACCATGAGTAAAACTACATCAATGAACGGCAGAATCACATGGTGAAAATTTTCAGAACGGTAGGTCATCACATCAACATGGAGTATTGTACAGAAATCTACATGAAAACCAGATCATAATTTGAAACATTTTGGATCGTAAAATTCTTTTCTGACAAAGATATCACACCTATGAGCCCACTCCAAAGCGCCAACCCAAAGAAAGTTTTCTTATCATTCTGATTCGAATGTCAAAGTACAAACTAAACAAACCTACATACATAAAGCAACTTACACCATCTGAGCAGCATTAAGGGCCCTCACAGCATCCGATGTCCCCATCTGAAATACCACCCGACTTTTTTCTTCAGGGCATGTTCTGAAAACTACACTGTTTGTTCCCTTCTCTATCAAATCCACAGTTCCAAGTACATCTAGCAAAGAAAATAAAATATTTTGAGTTCCAGAAGATCAGCCATGGATTACTATTTATTTACAATCATGCATGGGTGATTTCAGTCAATACTGGAAAAAATAAAATAAAGAAGCAGTGGTCAAATATCTATCAATGAATACAATTTATATCTGGAACTAAACCAGAGCATATAATTTGACAGTAGTCAGCAGAAGAAAAAAGAGCAGAATATAATTACCATTAATATGGCGCTCGCATTTAAGGAGTTTGTGATCAATAATTTCCTCCCCATATGTTATATCCGCACCGTATTCAGCAGCAAGTAGCCTAAATGGCAATGTCCCCTACATTTCAAATTCAAGCTCGCGAATCAAAAAATAGATACAACAATTGAGCACAGCCAAATAAAAACTACTCAAATTCGCAAGCAATATAGTATATTAACATTGTCTAACCCTTGTATACAAACAGAAAATACACAAGTTCGAATATAGGAACTTACAACTCGGACCATGGGGGCGAGCATAATCTTGTTTCTGTAGTTCATCTCCATTATACAGTAGGTTTGAAGAAATTAAAGACCAGAATTTATATGGTGGACTGTATTCGCGCCAGCAGACCGCCTCTGGCTGCTGTGCGCTCTTATTTGTTCTGTTTCTTCTTCTGTTTCACCTTTCTGGGCTTATGGAGAGGAAATACACGAAGGGCTCTTTGACTCTGCCAAAATTTGAAATTGGCCTTTGTCCTATTAAATGAAATGGTAATTACACAAATTCATATTTTATAAATTCATATTTCATATTTCCTAAATAAGAGTGGAAGTTTCACATTTCTGTAATCAAATTTTTTTTTCATTTTCTAATTAATTTAAAATTATTTAATAGCTATCTCTACCTAAAATCACGTAATTCAAAACTTTTGAAACTGTATTTTCTTTAAACACGTCCTTTCCATAAAACCGTCATTTCCATAACCACGTCCCTCACGTACCCCATTTTTCGATTAAACCGTGTTCATCCTAACCGTGTTCATCCAATCGGTCGTTCATCACTGTCGTTCTCCGGCGATTCCCCGATCAACTTCTTTCACTGTCGGTCACATAATTTTTACATTCCTTCCCAAAGCTGTGTTCACAGTTTACCCGAAGTATTCTAAAACTTCAACGATGACTCGTTCAAGCAGTGGGAAACGTGGGGAGAAAATTGGAATCCACGAGTCAGGAAGAAGAGTTAAAAGGAAGTTGGATGAAGTGCAGAAGGAATCATCCTCTAAAAGACAAAAATCCAGAAGTTCGGTCGGAAAACAGTCGTCGAAGAAGGTGATTTTTTGATATTTTTCAATTGTTCACTTATTTCGAGTATACCTAGCTTCATTTTAATCGATGAGTAATGTGTATTGATGAAGTATTTTTGAATTTGTGATGTATGTTGTGTTGAATTTGTAATCGAAATGCCTCATTGTAGTAAGGGTTTTTAATGTTTTTTTCAAAAGTGATTGTTCATTTGTGAATTATGGAACGCTATTGTGTCGTTCTGTATGGGTGTTGTTGATTTCTTTTTTGCTGAAGGGGATCTGTGACCTATATGTTGATGTTTGTGACTACCTGGATTTTCACCTGTGACCAAAATGATGAGTTTTATTGTGATCGTTGTTGCAGGCGTGGAGATACATTATACCCGAGAAGAGTTGGTTTCCGAGTAAAATTACAATTACCCCCGTCAAAGGTGTGGTGTCGAACTTCAAAAACAATCTCAATGAAGCCCAACGCCGAATCCTTCAAAATACGTGTTTCGCTCACTTCCTGCAATGCGAGGAAATTGTTATCCAATCGCAGCTGATACACTATTTTCTTCTGAGACAAGTACAACAACCTAACGAGAGTGAGTTGTGGTTCAACATAGCTGGAAGATTCGTGCGATTCTCAATTTCAGAATTTTGTTTGGTGACTGGTTTGAGATATGTCGGCGATGATGACACAAGTAGGATGGAGAAGACTCCATCACGATTGAAAAATTTGTATTTTTCAAGGTTGAAAAATGTTACTCATGAAAATATCAAGGACGCATTTTTTGGTTCTACTGACATTCCGGATGAGGATGTTGCCATGCTAGGTGCATTGTATTTCATAACATCTTATCTACATCCGAGAGACTACAAGAAGGCTGTGGAGCACTTCTTATTTATACTAGTTGAAGATTTTAGTGAGATGAATGTGTTTCCATGGGGTAAGTCGCTGTTTGACAAACTAGTAAATTCATTGAGGGAGGGGTTGAGTAAGAGATCAACACATTACAGACTCAGAGGCTTACTTGTAGCCTTTCAAGTGTGGATTTACGAGACAATACCCAGTCTCGATGGATACACTGCGAGAAGGATTTCCAGAGTGTACCCCAGGATAATGAACTGGACGGCTGATGATCACCCTTCGGCTGCGAAGCTTGAGGGACCTGAATGCTTCTCCAATCCCGACGTAAGTGACCACCGATGCAGCAGTTCTGGTTTCAAAATATTAAACTGGCACATTTTTCTCATGTTCCAGATCATATTTCTTAGGTCACAAATATATTTTCGTCAAGTCACAAATTGCATTCTCGAAGTCACAGATTTACTCATTATGTCACAGATCATTTCATACTAGGTCACAGACATTTTCTCGGCGCCATTTGCCCTTGTTATATCACAATTAATGCAAACAAATTGAATGTGTGATGTGCAAAGCTATATCTGTTTGTTCATACATAATTTTTGGTTGTTGACATTGCACTTTTTGTTGTGATATGAATGGCAGTTGGTAATATGTGACCTGGACCCCCCACCAGCTGAATTGGCAATGCCATACATGAGTCAGGTAGAGTATGAGAAACATATCCTACCCAATCGATCACATGGGGAGAAGAGAAAGGGTGGTAGCATACACTGATCAGATCATCGTGCTGGGACTAGTACAAAACCAAGTAATCCAGGAATGAAACAATCTACTCCCATGCTTTTGATAACCGACGGACGATTGGGACACTCTAATCTCCCCATTGATGATGATGACTTTGTTGACGCACCACCCAGTTGGAAGGGGACATCAATCCATGAAGATTCTCCAACTGGGGAGTTTAAGTCAGATGGCACCACTGATTCAGAGGATATGCCATCAAAAGATGTAAGCTCTTCCAATTTCATCTATCATGTCACAAGTCCATTTGGTCACATAAAAATTCAGGTCACATATTCAGGTCACAGGTTTTGGTGATTGGGTCACATACCAATACACATGTCACTGCTGATCACAGATCAATGTCATATTTCATCATCATAATTTTACTGATTATAGGTATTCATGTGATGCAGGTGGTCGATGAATTGAAGAATTATTTCAAAGGGCAGATATCTGATCTAAAGTCTGAGAATCAGTTGCTAAGCAAACAACTCAAGTCAATGCAGTCACAGGTGTCTTCTTTAAAGTCTGATCAGCAAAGGAAACTGAATCTGCTAGTTCGTATGCAAGGTGAAATTCGTACTGACATGTTGGACATCAAAGCACACATGCAGTGTATGTCTGATTTTGTGACTACATTGATATCTAGTTCAATGGAAGAAATTATGAAAAAATTCAGAGAGAACGCAGGACCAGAAATTGTTGTAGGATCTGGACCAACATGCGAAGTCAGTACCCCAACTGTGACTGCCTCTTACTTGTCTATTTACCACAAACCGTTTGATATACACTTCTCATCAAATGCATTTTTGTTCTGATTTTCAGGCTGCAAAAGTCAAACGAAGTGTTGATTCGAAAGGCAAGGTGAAGGTTGATTCTGTGTGTGTAGTTGAATTCCCATGTTCTATTGAACCTCCATCTTTTGATCTTAGTCTTGGATTCACACAACCAAGCCAGATTGTTGCAAAAGCATCAAAGGACGTTGACAGGCAAGTTGAATCGGTCATAGCCGATGTTTTGAAGGACACGGAATGTTTTCAGCAAGAGGTATCCAAACATCGATGTATTTTTGGTGATTAATGCATGTCACATATTAAAGAACACATTTTATTACGCAGCACTCACCTGAGGCTGCACCAAGTTCTGGATTTCCGGTGAAGAGGGCTCCAAAGCCAGCTAAAACCCTTCAGTCCCCTTATGTTGCCGACAAAATGAAACAAATGAAATCTTCAGGAAATGTAGTGGTCTTTGAACACTACAATCAGAATGTACAAGATGCAGATGTTGCTGACTTTCAAAATTGGTTTCAAAGAGGATACAAACCGCATAACAAGTACGAAATTGTTGTCCTATTTTCACAATGTTCCAAATAATGATCCGTTCTTCTCGTTTGCAGGAAGAAGTTCAATGATAAAGATGATGTCATCCGTCCACCTTTTTCAATCGGTCGGTACTTGGTGGGAAACAAGACATGGTGGTACGAACTTGTATCCAGGGAGGTGTCGTTGACTAGTTCGGTAAGTCACTACACAAATGTAACAGTTCTAAAGGGTATGTTACAGTATAGGTCACATTAGTCAAAGTTTTTTGTATACTAGTCACACAGAGCATGGGTCACAGATCACACGAGCAGTAGGTCACAGATGATGCGTAGGTCACAGATCACACGAACAGTAGGTCACAACTGATGCCTGGGTCACAAATCCCACGAACAGTAGGTCACAATCCGCGCTGCACAGGAGAACACATATCTGCAGGTGCATCAGTATAGCACACATGTCTTTATTACGTCCGGTTCAGTTATGGAGTGGTCACTAACTACAGATTGTAGTGATCACATTCTAGCCGAGTCACACATCAAATTAACAGCTTATTGCATCGTGTTTTATGGTGTATACATGGTTTCTAAATTGTTTATTGTACTTTCATCTCTATAGCATATGGACGTGTGCTTCTATTATATACGTCAACTAGCAAGAAGTGCAAGAGATTTCAAGTTTGTAGCTACCACAACGGACTCGTTGTTCCAGGCCAACCTAAAGCACATGTATCCTAGTTTCAAGGATGATGCAAATGTTCTTGTCACGGATGATAGACTGATTAACGATATTACCGGTGCGCGAATTCCATTGAGCACTCCATGGGCTGAAGTTGACCTTGTGTTTATCCCACTTCTGCCTACCAACAAAGCACATTGGATGCTTGGAGTGTTGGACATAAAGGCACATACGTTGCGTCTATTGAATTCGTCCAGGAAGACATACAATGATATCAAAATCCGTACTGGAATTGAACCCTTTGTCAGCATGCTTCCGCATCTTATGAAATCTGTTGGAATATGGAAAAAAGATTCCATGGAGTTGAATGTGGATTTTGATTTCTCTCTTCCCCAACAGAAAAATGGGCAAGTTTTTTTCCCTCCACTAACAGTTAAACATATTATAACTTGCTTGATTTCATAGCTAATATTCTGTTTTTTGTGTTCCTAGACATGATTGTGGCATTTACGTGGTCAAGTACGCGGAGTACATGCTACATGACGATATAGGATCCATGCCAATGAAGTTTGATGCGGGGAGAGCTCGGTTGGATGTAGCTTCACTGTTGTTCAAACATCGTGAAATCGGGAAGACTAGAAAGCCGGTGCAGCCTACTGGTGGGGAAAGCATTATTTTAGAGTGATAGTGCAATTTAGAAGTAACATGTTGTAATAGCAAGAAACATTGTCTCAATGTTTTGGAAATTCGTTTGTAATGACAACGCAGTTATTACTTTTGTCTATTTATATCAAAAAGTTCATTAATGTTTGGGGACTTTACTACAAGTTTCACTATATATCATATTTTGCTATATTGACACCGTATCGAGGACAAAGTCTCAAAATTTAATGGTTACCTGCAGTTATTCGGATTATCACATGTCACCAGTTTCTAGGATTATCTGCAGTTCCAAGGTCACTGGTTTGTGTAATTTGGTCACAGGTCAATTCCCATTGTCATAGGTCACTGCACCCTGGTCACAGGTCACAGGTTACCTGCAATTTTTAGGATTATCACAGGTCACCAGTTTCTAGGATTATCTGCAGTTCCAAGGTCACCGGTTTGTGTAATTTGGTCACAGGTCAATTCCCATTGTCACAGGTCACTGCACCCTGGTCACAGGTCACAAGTTACCTGCAATTTTTAGGATTATCACAGGTCACCAGTTTCTAGGATTATCACAGGTCACTGGTTTGTGTAATTTGGTCACAGGTTAATTCCCATTGTCACAGGTCAATGCACCCTGGTCACAGGTCACAATATATTGGTCACAGTTCATGAAAAATTATTAAAAGTCAATTCAACCTGGTCACAGGTCATTGAAGATTTGTTACAGATCATTTCATACATTTGTCACAGCTGAACCACTTCCATTTTGCAAAGTTTTTGCAATATGTCACTGGTCATCTTTTGTTGGTCACAATAGATGGTCACAGATCTCTGCATATTGGTCACAGCTCAATGACATCTAGTCACAGATGATTTCATATATTCACAGTTGATTGCACAGGGGTCACAGGTCACTGAATTCTGGTCACAGATCATTTATATTGGTCACAAGTCACTGCATTCTGGTCACATCATTAATAATGACCATAGTTAACGCATACTAGTCACATGTTATTGTAGAATGATCACAAATCATTAATTTGTGTCATCCAATGTTTTGCATCCTACATTTACAAAAAATCAATGAATAAAAAAAACAATGGAATTATAAAAATTTTATCAATGTGCATTTCCAGTCTTCATCCTCTTCCTCTCTTTATTCTTGTTGCTTTGACTCAACGGAACTAAGTTGCTGCATGTTCTACGATTGTGACCACTTTCACCACACCGACCACATTTGATGGTTATGTTTTCCTCGTACGCTGCTCTGAATCTCTTCTCAGTAGGCCTTCCACAACTTCGCTTTTGATTAGGTGCAATTACAACTATGTCATGGACATCATTTGGCACTGTCCATTCAGCTGGATTTCCTACCGGAAAAATGGTTTCTTGGTATGTATTTCTGAACGCTTCACTTGTGTAGTAGTAGGAGAAGTATTCATATGGATCCATCTTCATACTCGCAAACACAGCCAAAGCATGTGGACAAGGTAGTTGATCAACTTGAAGCATCCTACATGTGCATGTCCGGTTTTCTATATCAACAACGAAGGAGGAACTTTCACCGCTAACTGAGAACATTGCCTGATTAATGGGTGAAACCTACAGATATAGACTCAAGTTATAGGCATAACAAGTCACGTAATTAAAAAGTAGGACACAGATGAAATTCCAAGTCATGTAGTTCTATATAATATTGTACAAATATTACTGAAATACAACGGCACATATCATAGCAGAAGTCACAAATCAGATCCGGTAAGTCACAGATTATAGATTAGGTCAAGTAATCAAGCTTACCCTCAAGTTTCTCATATCTGTACTCATTTCCCTCATCTTCTTCTCATACTTGATTGACAAGGTTGTAAAAGTGCCTTGGGCATCCTCCTTGTGCCTACAGAACCAAGATTGTAGAATTTGTCTCAATGACTCCAACAAAGCTAGAATAGGGTAGTTCTTGGCAGACTTTGTGACCGCATTAACCGACTCCATAATATTCGATGTCATTGTAGAATACCGGTTTGAAGGCATGTGGACACGTGACCATCTCTCAGGTCCAACTTCGTCCTACAAAACAAAACCATGGAAATGTGTATCATATAGCGTACAGTACCATGTTAAACGTATTTATGTGAATATCATCATAGGACAACATATAGAATAGTACCAGATAACCCCTTATCTTCTGATTAATTGAGCCGAGTTGTTGCATGTAATATTCATATTCCAATAGTGTGTAGGCACGAACAGCTGCATTGAATGCTTGTGTTATGTTTTGTCCTGATCTCCTGTACCGTGATTTTAGATTTTGTAGTAGATGGTAAGAACATATCCCGTGACATGCTCCCGGATACACGTTTTCAATCGCCTTTTTGATGCTGTTGTGACGATCCGACACGAAGCACAAACTGTCTCTATCCCCATATGCTTTTCTCAACTGTCTAAAAAACCATGTCCAGGAGCTGTCATTCTCGTTATCCCCAATCCCGAAAGCAAGTACATAAATGCTGTTATTTGCATCTTGTGTACATGCCGTGAATAAGGTGCCACCATAGTGTCCATTTAGATAGGTGCCATCAACCACAACAACTGGCTTACAATATTTCCATCCCCGTATAGATGTACCTAGTGCCATGAAACAATATTTAAACCTATTGTGACCATCAATTTCTAGACATGTCACTGATCCAGGATTTGTTTGTTGTAGCACAGAAAAAAATGCTGGTATCTTATTGAATGAATCAGTTGGATCACCCCTAAGCACTTTCAGAGTTTCCTCTCGAGATCGCCAAGCTTGGACATAATTCAAAGATACTCCATATGTATGCAGCATGTCGTTGCATATATCATTCGGTGTGTATATTGTGCGCGATGATGTGTACTTATACTTAATGCAAGTTGATACAACCGTCTTTGTTACTTGCCTATGAGTACTAAGTACGATGTTTGAAGCACATATGTGACCTTCTGCAATGTGTCTGATTTTAAACATATCTGTTTTGGCTAGCTTTGATGCTCTACATATCCAATTACACTCATCACATGAACATTTTACAAGATAGTCTTTCTTATCGGACCGAACAACCACGTACTCAAACATGTTCTGGATTACATAAAACGACAAGCTCAATTTCATTATCTCCTTGTTACGGAAGACTCTTCCTTCCTCTACCTCCCTAGCATCTGCCACCGCCACAACTGTGACCTCATGCTCAAGATTGTCACTAGATGGATCCATTATTGCTCCACATATGTCTGATGACATATCTGTTAATGAAAACCCGTGCTCGTTCGATTGAACATCAACTGATAGCGCAATAGGCTGTTTTTCGATATCCGCAGTTGTCACCTCGATGTGAATTGGATATTTCGCAGGGTCACGACTCATATCCTTTAAAACCATGTAAGACAAGACGTTTTCATCACCTTTGATTGCTACTGGAGGCAGATCACTGTTCAAGACATACTTCATTGTCACAGCAACTTTTGCAGGGTCAAAGCTAAACTCTTTCATAACTGTGTCGACAAGCCTCAAATACCCGCAACTACGATCAATTAAAACCAGTGACACTTGTGATCCATTCAACAGACACACGTGAATTAACCCCATTTTCTGCAAAATTAGCAAATACATGATCAGCCTAACATCCAAATATATGTTAAATCTAGTTGCAAATGGGTCAAAATTAAATTAATGGTCAAATGTCACAATAAACATATATCGAATCTCAAGTATCATTGTCATGTATTGAAAACATGCAGCTCACATAGTTTTATTTCCTAGATTTTTTTTACGAGAGGTTACAGATCATTGTATAGGTCACATGTGACATTTAAGTCTTTGTATATTGGTCACAGTTAGTTGCATGTCGATCACAATACTGTTAAATGATCACAGGTCAAAGCAAACGCATGTGGTATCTTGAATGTCATGGTCACACATTGAATACATGCAGGTCACATGTATTCAATGTGTTACAATTACATGCAATAATCGGTCACAGTAACTAAGTATAGGTCTGTCGCATATGATTAGATTCGAACAAGAGCATCAGTATCATAATACACAGATTAAAACATTTCACACATTTCGAGACACAAACACCCGTACATACTGAATGCATGAGGTTATATCTTGCATCCAGGGTCACATGTTTTCCATAACGGTCACAACAGTTTCGAACGGCAATGTCCGTTATTCATGATCAGAGTTCTGTCAAAAATCATATTTCTGATCAATCGAAGCTTGTCTAGCGTGAAAAAACGACAAATTATAATGAATAAATCGCAATTACACACCTGATCAATTTAATTATACGCCTGAATAATGTTTTCAGTGACTGTTCGAGCCGATCTCATACGACCCGCGACTGCAATTTGTGACCAGAATTCGGTTTCACCGTCAATTCCGCAAGAGCCGATCGTAATTGGATGTATTTTCAGATCTTCTGGCTATTGAAATCAGATTGAAAATGAATTAATCTTTTTTAGGAGAATCCTGATATTACGGCTCTTTGCTCGGGATTGTTTTCCATATTAAATTATATTAATATTTGTATTTATTTTTAGGCTAATTTCTGATTTTTGAAATATGATACTTATTTTCTTATTTTTGAAATGCTCTATACTTAATATCTTGTATGTGAAATTTTCCCTTAAATGAACTAAGAAAAAACAAAGTAAGTTAAAAGAAAAATTTCACAGTAAAAGGCCATTTTACCCTTCACACTATTTGAAAATCTCTGACCGACCGATCGACACCGACACCACCGACAACGACCATCATCTACACCCAAAATAAAATAATCGATTAGTTTTAATCACTTTTCTCCAGTTAATGCAGTTCATGTGCAAGCAAGTTTATAGCATTTTCCTTACTAATTTCGGTTTAATTAGATCCATGGGCATGAGTAGTTAGATTGTGGGCATGCTGGGAGTGTGAAAAATATGAATTTTTACCTTTTTTTGGTGCTTAGTGGCCGAAAATGACGATTTTCCGATGGGAATGGGAGAGGGGACTACGGATGGGTGGCCCCGACGGAAGGGACGGAGGAGGGGGCGACGGAGGGGTAGGCCCCGACGGGAGGGGCGGAGGTGGCGGCAAGGGAGGGGGAGGCCCCGATGGAAGGGGTGGAGAAGGTGGCCCCGGAAGTCGAGAGGACGCCCGGCGTGACTAAGGGTAAGAGACATGCTGTTGACGAGACGGAGCAGGTGGTCGACAAGAGGTTAAGAGTGCCGTCACAGTATGTTGTTTTCCCCTTCACGGCTGAGGCCAAGAGGAGGACGTTCATCGATGGGACGTACCCAAACTTATTCAAAGAGGTGGACAATACCAAGTGGAAAGCGTTCGAGACAGAGTGTAGGAGAATTATCCCCGAGTAAGTATTGTATGATTTTAATAAAGTACTGTACGCTAACTCGTCTACGCTTATTTTAACATTTCCCTCTTTTTTACAGAGTTAGCCGCACGATAGGTTAAAGGACGGTGTCGGACCCTTACAAGTGGTTCCACGATATCACCACTGCGGGAGCTTGGCTCGCTGACGATGTAAGTGAACTATTCATTTCGTGTTTTTTATGTATATGTGACATTGTGTTTATTAAATGAATAACTCATACTTTTTTGGTGTTTCTTGCTGTAGCACATCGACCTGGCCATGGACTTGTTGCGAGATCGAGCTCAAAGACATCCAAAATCATTTGATGTCCATAGTCGAGTCATCTTTTAGATTTAGTTTTTATTTACATAGTATTGAACTGATTCATTCTTGTTCAATTGCAGCAGCGACTGCAGCATATTTGCCATTAAATACGTTGAATTTTTAAGTATAGGACATGAGGTTGATGAAATCAACCAGTCGTGGATACAGAACTGGAGAAAGAAGCTAGCATGTGATTTGTTCGAATTTAATGCTGGCCCGTAAATTTCATTTATATATATGTAATATTTCAATTGTAAATTTAATTATTTTTGTAATTATGAAATAATTGTAAATTTGTGTTCAATGTATATAACATTTCAATTGTAAATTTAATTATTTTTGTAATTATGAAATAATTGTAAATTTGTGTTCAATGTATATAACATTCAAATTGAAAATTTAATTATTTTTGTAATTATGAAATAATTGTAAGTTTGTGTTCAATGTATATAACATTCAAATTAGAAATTTAATTATTTTTTGTTATTATGAAATAATTGTAAATTTGTGTTCAATGCATATAACATTCAAATTGGAAATTTAATTATTTTTTGTTATTTTACCCGTATGTCGAGTATGGAACTATTTTTTTCATATGAATTATTATAAATACCATTTATAGAGAATAAATATTGAATATGGAAGATTTATAAATAACAAATATTGAACAGTGTAAAGTAAAATGAAATATTATTCATTTCATGTACCTGTCTAGTCGTCATTTAGGGAAATTTGACTGGTACAAAATTGTCGAGTATGCCCTACGGCTCTGCACCGGCCACACCTACGCGGTCGAGGAAACTCTCCAATAGATGGTATTCTAGATGTACTTGGACGTCCAGGACCACGCGGTTCAACTGCTGGTGGTAACAAATTATGAAATGGGAGAATGTGCTCGAGAACTTCCCACTCGGTTTCATTCGGCAGAGGAAATATAGTCTTGGCATATGCTGTTCTCCAAGACTCAGTCGTATAATACAAAGAGCATAACGTTCTCGCAGCAAAGCCTCAATACATGGCCACCGCAACTGCATGCTCACATGAAAAACTCTCCAACTGAAATCTCGTACAAGTGCATGTGTTATCAGTCAAGTCCACCATATATGCCGTATTACGTGCACATTGCACGGAGAAGCGAAACTCATCTAGTGCTTCCACATTCAACTTTCTCGCAACCTCTACCGCCTTAAACAGTTTCTCCTTTTGAGCTGGGGCCAACACGCTAGTGCAACTCTGTGATGCCGCACGTCGGTCATGAAACCACTGTTGTAGCTTGTTACGAATGTTCTCAATCATTGCGAGAATTGATAACTCTCGATCCTTCTTAAACAATGCATTGAGAGAGTCCGCGTTATTCGACGTCATCATGTTGTATCGACGTCCTGGAAAGTATGACCGCGCCCAATGTTCGATCCCCATCTTCGTCGGATACTCCAACGTCGGTAATTATTTACTTCCTATTTCGAGCATGAACTTATTACACTCTTCAGCACTGTAAGCTTCGGCTGCTCTCCGAACAATGAAACGATGCCTATGCCCCGATACCTAGTCTTCAAATTACCTTGTATATGGTACATGCAATACCCGTGATGTGCCTCGGGAAAAACTTCAGTGATACCGTTTATTATAGACTGTCATCGATCGGTTACAAAGGCAAGGTCTTCGACTTCCCCGATCACTTCCCTCAGTTTAGAAAAGAACCAATGCATGGACAGATCATTCTCGCTGTCGACTATGCCGAATGTAATAGGGTAAATTTGGATGTTAGTATCTTGACATGTAGCAATAATTAATTTGCCTTGATATTTAACTTTCAAAGTTGTACCATCAACTAGAATTACGGGTCGCATTGCATTTCGAAAACCCCGAATTCATTGTCCGAAAATCATGAAGAAATACTTAAAACAATTATTGCCCTCCGTCTCAATAAAAAATGCCGTGCCAGGATTAATTGTCCCCATGTTATGGCAATACCTAGCCAATTTAGCACAGCTCTCTTCAGCCGATCCCATTAAATCCTCCAACGCACATTCTTTGGCCTTCCACGCTTTCTGATAGCTCATGACCACTCTGTACTCTTGACGAACGTCGTTAATGATGTCCGAAGGTCTGTAGATCATCCGTGGATCCTGATACTTGTGCATTATCTGTCGACCAATAAACCATGCTCGAGCTTGCTTGTGATCGTTTCGAAGAATTCCCACTTCGCAAATATGTTCCCGTATATACTTGCGAATTACGAAGCACTCATTCGTGTCCATCTTAGTTGCTCTCAAGCGCCAATTGCAACTGTCTTCGATGCAAGCAACTGTCAACAATGACTTGTTTGATTTTTTTACCTTGAACTCAAAGTTATATTTTAATGCCAACCGGTGCACAGCTTCCTGTAAATCTTTCTTGATTTCAAACAGTTGCTCAACCTGCAAGTCCTCATCATCGGGAGCCATACGGGAAGAATTGGAGGACGGTCCACTTGTTCCAACCTGTGAGCTCCCACCAGGCTCGTGTCTCTGTTGGGATAAAGCAATCAAATTCTCATTTGTAAACTCGTTTATATTCTCATTGTCTTCAACTATTGACGGAATTCTACGCGTAACAGCGACATCACGATCAGAAGCAATTGTCTCAGGAATACCCACATCATCCGCAGGAACTATCTCCACTGTCTCCCAAAAACCTCGATCATTGTTATCCGCCCTATCTGAATCTTTGCGTTCACCTTCGATAACATCCTTCGTAATTAAAGTCACACCAAGAACAGTCGAAGTCCGATGCATTTTATTTAATTCTAATAGATAATTCAATTCAGCATCATTAGTAACGAATACCGGTGGCATCAGAATGGATGAATCCCCATAACCGTTGAATAGATATCTCAATTGCATATCGTATTGAGATTGATCGACAT